CAAGTCTTCTCCGTGTGAGAAGAGGGCTTTGCTCAGCAGTGGGCACTTATAGGCTGATGATGTGTCTCAACCCTGGTAGCGAGTTTTACCCTTTACGGACAGTTTCAACAATATCTCTGTGGATTTCATGATTGGCGACAGAATTTTGACTGTAGGTACAAAATGTATAATCAATAATGTACAATGCTGTCACAACAAAACAAGCCATAGATTTTTGTATGTTTGCGTAACCAAGAAGGAAGACATTCTACTTCTAAACTTGTTAGTTCTCAGATTCAACGCAAGAACTCATCTATTTTCCTAACAAACAATTAACTTCTCAACCAAAACCATACCTACTAATTTAGCAGACTCTATGTAATTAAAGAAACAATTAAACAGCCGAATAATTGCAATTACGAGACGGCGGGTATAAGCAGAACTTGTCTAAGAGATAAACATCTTTAAGTAAATCAAGGTTATAAAATTAATCGCTTTGTAGGGACGCTATGACATTTGTTTTGTTCGTAAGTCAGCAAGGTCGGGTAAAGTAGTGTTATGAGCAATCAAATCTGTGAAATCTGTAGTAAGGTCTTTTTGGTCTTGAACTTGAGGGTCGCGGAATCTTTGGCCCAGATATTTTGGGTAGTGACTAAGTTTTAGATCATAGATCATAGCCATATTTAGGTAAGGTTAGGTGATAAGTTCTAGAATTGTTATTTTGAGTGTTTTTAATCCACCTGCAAGGCTACAAACATAATATAAGGTGTATCATTACTTAAAAGACTTGAAATTCTGTATAGCGTTCAAATCGCTTAGCTCAAACTGGGAGATTGCGTTCCAACTGAAATATAATCATGATAACAATCTTAGTAGCGTCATGTACTAAGGAAGATTAGTTATATTAATTTTTTTATCAAGTAGGTATTCCATGGGTTAAATGTTTCAGTCTAAGATAAAAAAAGTGTTTGCTTAATATTCGGAAATTATTAAGAGTCATAGTTCAGTATGATGATTAATATACTGCACACTGGCTAAATGTTTCAAAATTATAAACATTATTATCTATAAACGAGGAAAAATTGAAACGATTTGTCTATTATTTATAGAAAGGTAGGTTTTTATTAGATGTTTCCCTTACATTTTTGTTTGAGTTTTATTTTAAGATATTCTAAGGTTTACAGTAGAATAGGCGGTATACAGTATTAAAATTATATTCTAATATTATAATAGAAAATATTCGATTGCCTGTTTGTTTAAATTGAACAGGAAAAGAAACTACTCGAACGGTTTGAAAAAAGTTTCAGTGTTGAGATGCTCTATAATCTTTGGTGAACATAGCTATAACAAACGTGGGTAAAACCACGGGTCATAGCCAGTTTGTTTAAGTAATAAACAGATAAAATCAAAGTTATGCTGTCTTATATACTTATTAAATCAAAAGATCTCTCTTACAGCATGACCTCTTGAACGGTCATAATACGAAACGAAAAAAGTGTGAAACAGAATTTTAAGTCATTGTTTTTTTAGAACCACTAATTAATTCACAAAATTTTTGAGTTTAATTTTTATTGTCCATCCGGATTTTTATAAAACTAATTTTAATTATGTATCATTATTATGTTTTTGACCTAAGAACATGGTTTGAACTGCGATTATTGTAAAAAAGTGCTCGGAGTTGGTAATAATATATATTTCTTTTTGTAAAACAAATGAGGCAACGTTTTGTTTGTTAGTGTTCTGTTTAATACGAAAATGAGGTACTATTCGTTCAGATTCTATTCTTAAGCCTATTGCAATATCAATTATCAGCCTTCAAGTGCCCACTGCTAAGCAAAGGCCTCTTTTCACCCGGAGATGGATTAGGACATTCATCAATAGGAACTTATTGATTAGCGATTTTAAACTAAGTAATAAGAAATAGTTCTCTCGATGTTTTCCGTACAGACGTAAACGTATCTTCTGTATTTAGCTTAGAAAGATTACGTAACTGTCATATTTGAATCTGCTCTATCAAACCTTCAGTTCCATAATTCCCGAACGCGATGACAATTTATAGCTATCAAAATATATACTTACTAGGAACAAAACCAGACTCCACGGTACTTCGTTTAGGAAAACTCCACTTGCTACCCTTACTCGACAATCCAATCAATCAATAACGCGGTATAGTCTACAATGATTATCAGTAAATTAACATCCTAGACCAATTTATTTATATGTAAAATAAGTCTACCTGCTAGGTACTAAGTCATGATTCATGAAGACACAAATATACATGACTAGTATGCAATTACATTATACCTACTCGTATTGTCATCTATAACAATGACCATTATTAAATGACACTTCATAACGTGTTTGATATAATAATTATGTTCACACCACTCCACAAAAATGTGGATGGCGGAACAAGAAGCGTACGGAGCCACGCAATGCTTAAAGAGCCAACAAACCAGCACTTCCCAAATGTCTATAACCTCAATCCTAAAATAGCCGGCAATGCAAAGTCAAAGTCAAAGTCAAGTTTTGAACATCAAGCAAAAAAAAAGAACTTTAAGCGTGTCAGTCTATCCGTCTGTCCTCTAGTGAAGCTATTTGCTCGTTCCGACGTGTTGCTCCGACGTGCTTGCTCGTTCTTCTCCTATGGAGAAGAACGAGCAAGAAATTCCATGGTTACTCTTTATCAATCAGTTTTAGAATTCATTCGGTTCCGTTATGTGAGAACAGTGTAACTTTATGTTTAGGCAAAGAATCCGAAAAAGAAGTTAACCTCAAGGACAACAGATTTAGACCGCTTGGAGTTGACCAGTCTCAATAGGCGCGCATGCAATTTTATTCCTAGCGTTGCGAATGTCCTCGTGCATAGCAGATTGTTTATGACCATCAGGTGTTACGTCTACTAGTACCACTCTTTATCTTAAAAAAACTTTACCTAATATCGAATTTCAACATTAGATTTTGCATTTCGTTACACATTTCACATTTTTTGTTATAGACGATTTGGTACTTGCACTGTAAGTTTATTTTGTTAAAATTATAAATTAATAAGTACTTAACTTACATTACATATCCCCTTTTTATTATTTTTTTGGTGAGCGGAAAATCATGATTTAATGTTGTCTCCTGTCTTGGGTAGAGCGAGATGGAGTGTCAGGCTCTTATTGACTAAAATCCACTCCGTTTCCTTTCTGCTCTGGGCCGAAGCCGCGGAACATTAATGCGTAAGTAGATGAGTATTAGACACCAATACGGTAGTTTCCAACTAGTCAAATTCATTATTTTTTTCCAAATGTCAAAACAATTCTATGAAATTTGTATGAAAAAGAAAGTTATGACGTCATAGTATTTTTGTGTCAAATAGCGTACTTATTTCTTTAAAATTAGCTAAAAAATATCTATAGCGTATCGACAGATCGATGAATAAAAGTATAGTTATGTTTCAATATGTTATTGGATTGAAACGTCGAATTTATTTATTTTTGACCTAGGAAACTACCCGATTGCTTTAAAATAAATAAAAAAATAAAATGAAAATTAATTTATTAAAGTATCTCTGTCTATTAAATTGTCTATAAGAATAGCTTATCTCACTATACCTATAATGATTCATTCACTATAATATCATCACGCTATGTCCTTTGAGTCACCAAAATAATTGCCGTAAAAAATGACCTGCAATTTATCATTGTTTTCTTGCTATCCGCCATTGTTATGACGTCATTTTAATTAATCTATACATTAAAGTGAGTAACAATAATAAAGGTATTTTTTGTAAGGAAATGACTTGGAAACTGTAAAAAATGTATAATAATAAAACCGTGATTAAAGTGAGTTTGGTATTAATTAAGCACTGAGGTTAAAAAATTATCCAAATGGTAGTTTTGCTAGTTTTCAAAGTGTACCTACATAATTACATCAACATAATATGGTTTGTTAGATTGGTGTCTGAAAACAACAAAAATAAAATACTTAGGTATAAAAAAACGACAGACGATGACGACAAAGTCTGGAGTATATTTTTTAAACGAAAAATTTTATATGGACTCGTATTCTTCGGACTTCAATCATAAAAACAATGCTATCGTAAAATTTAGTCCACGAATTCCGTCAATGACAAAATTTTCAGATGGCACTGAAATCGTGAAAAATAAGCTTTATAATTAGAAAGATGTTTTTCTAAAATGCTTTCTTTAACCATTTTATTCTCGAAACTGTACAGTACTATTTAATTTAGTAATGAAAAATGGATCGTTTTGTAATATTTTAACAGTTTGTTATACAAAGACAAGTAAACATTGCTATTTGTACCATTAGTTCCTCTGAGCTTCTTTTGTTTTATTTTTTTCTATTGTAACAAAATAAATACCGCTTTTGTTAATATTACAATGAATGACAAAGAAAATGCAGGTCTTACTGTCAGTTAAATAAAGAATCCGTCATGGTTACTGTAATATTAATGATGTTTTGTTACGGCTAGCCACTTCGAAAGTCTATATGTACATATACATTTGTCACAGTTTTATGTACTTCGTAAAGAAAAAATGATTACACTATAGGAAACAAAAAATGTTCTAGAACAGAAGTTGATAACTATGAGTTTGTCGTTTCTTTTAATTAGTATAGATTAATATAAATCTTATACAAAAGTCAAAGTCCATTTTTTTACTTAGATTTATACCTTTATACTAAAGCTCTTTTGAACGTCAAACTATGTAAGTGTCAGTCTACCAGTCATTCCTCAAGTAAAGATATTTGTTCGTTCCAAAGCGTTACTCGAATTCCAAAACCTTATAGAACAACAGTAACTAAATTATATACAACAATATTTTTCTATGTACTTAGCTCTAAGCCACCTAAAGTCGTATCATATCAGTCACTATCCATAAGCATAGTAGCATTCATCGATGTTAGTTGATTGAAGATATTTTTCCGATCCTTGGCAATCATTTTAAATTGATTTTGTTCCGGGACCTTTTTTATAAGAGGTTTAACATTAAACATTCATTTTCCTTTTCCAGTTGGATGCCCAGCAACGCTACACTTTATTCCAACGTGGTCTCTGGGAGGCAGCTCAACAGATACCTCGAGGTGGTCTCCGGGACTATGCTACCTTCAGACAGCTGAGGCTACTCTCCATCATTGGACCAGCTGCACTACCACCAGACCAGCTGGATAGAGTATGTTAATTAACTAATTTAGATATTTATGAAAATTTCTGTTCTTATGTTAATTTATGTTTATGTATTTTATTACTTATCTAAAATGAGTTACAAATGTTTTAGTTGACCTTTAAGTACTCTGTAATGTTATCTGTCGAGGTACTTTTGTCAAATAGTTGGTAAAATCCGGGAAAAAATAATATTTTTCTATTTGGTTTGATTAATTTTTCAAATTTAATGAAACAACGCAACAATAAATTTATTTTTGCAAATAGGCCATAACACGGCACTTTTACACAAATTACCTATGTATGAAAAACCAGATGAAGCCGGATTAAAAAGGCACTATGCTTTACAGAATATCAAATAAAAACAAAAGAACACACATATTGATGAATTAAATCCTTCTTTTTCAGTACAACCGCATCATCAACGACATGTTAGCAGTCTATAACACCGCAGAAGTATGTGCCTACAACGAGCCTTTCAAATGTGGTCTCCATCTTCAGCCTGAACTCCAGTTCATCATGTCACACTCCAGGGATTGGGATGAACTCCAACATATCTGGACTGAGTGGAGAAGGAACACTGGTAGAAGGGTCAGGGATCTTTATGAACAGCTTGTGGATCTCACTAACCAAGCTGCGAGGTTGAACAGTGAGTGTTTTAGTAACATTATTTTTTTTATATAAAATTATTACTCTATGCCAGTATGTATTGCTTGGGGAATAATGGTCTAAGGCTATCTACTGAGGCGTTTCAGTCATATGGCTAAACTAGATTAAATTTTACAATAGTTTATGAAGAGTAATACAGACGCCTGCGGTATTTGAACCAGTTTAAACAAATAAGCGACTTGCTCTAATAAATCTTTAAGGCGCTTGTCTAAATTATTAAGCGGATAAATTTTCTTCAAAAGTTGTATATTTGTCGACATTAAATAATTACCTATATGTCGTGTTCCAGATTTCACGGATGCTTCGGCTTACTGGATGTTCCCTTACGAGACTAACAACATGAGGCAAGAAGTTGACGAAGTTTGGGAACAGGTAAAATAATGCAGTTACTTAGTTACATTAACTTGTTATTTTTATAGAATACTATGATTAATACCACTTAATAGTACACTATGCTACTGCATACTTTTTCTATCAAAGGTGGTCCAAAGTTACTATGTCCTTAATATGCATGGGTAACCTTTTATAGGGACTAGCGATTTGTCGCTAGTTCTCGTCTAATAAGTATAATATCTCCCTTCTTAAGTTCAAACAGTTTTGATATAGTTTATAGATATAAGTTTGTAAAGTTTCATGCTAAATATTTATTGTTCAATTTCTTCAGATCAAACCTTTGTATGAGTTACTCCACGCGTACGTTCGTCGTCGTCTCCGTGAGTCGTATGGTCCTGAGAGGATCTCCCGTTCAGCTCCGATCCCAGCTCACATCCTCGGAGACATGTGGGGACAGAGCTGGTCTGGCATCGTGCCCTTTACCCTGCCCTACCCTGGAAAAACCTTGGTGGATGTTTCCCCGGAGATGGTGCAGCAGGTAAGAAAGATTGTACAATTTGATTATGAAAAGATTTTTTCTTTACTATTGTAGTAATAGTGTGATGATACTGTATATTTTAGAGTAATATTTTTTTTTTCTGAATACCACTTAAGGTACCGGTAAAGGCCAGCAAATCTGTCCCTTACTCTAAGGAATTTTTGACATATCAAAAAAAAAAATACGGTAAAAATTCAAATTAACAAATACGCAATTTTTGTGGCAATGTTTTCTCAAGAGAAAAATAAAATAATCACCATTTTAGAGGGATTCAAAAAATATTAACACTCTTTCATGCAAATTAATCTAAAAAAATAATAAATTAACGTTTTCTTATTTCCAGGGATATACTCCTTTAACAATCTTTCAACTGGCTGAAGAATTCTTCGTATCAATGAACATGTCTGCGATGCCTCACGACTTCTGGGCACTGAGCGCTCTGCAGCAACCCACAGACAGACATATACACTGCCAGCCATCAGCTTGGGACTTTTGTAACCGACATGACTATAGGTGAGAATTCTATACAATTTAAAAAAGTAATACGAATTTTCATCAAATCAAGAGGCAAGAATCGATCCCGAATTTTATCCCGATCTACAAAAGTGCTAAAAAGATTAGCTTTTTGTTTTGTGGGACACAATAATTACCATCTCTTTAAGCAGTAAAAAATGAAGTGAGTGATTTTAAGAATATTATCTTCTTACAATTTCAATCCAACAAATCTATCATTAACACCTATATACTCAGCCTCAACTCAATAGAGTGAGATTCTGACACTCTCTCGCCCCAACAAAGCAGAAGTGATTTAATGACCCTTAAATAAGCCTCCTATCATGTAATCAATGGTATAGGCACCATTAAAACATCGCTCTATTTATTTTCCAGGATCAAAATGTGCACACATGTGGATATGAAGGACCTGGTGACTGCTCATCATGAGATGGCACACATCGAGTACTTCCTGGCATATAGAAACTTACCTAAGGTGTTCCGCGATGGTGCCAACCCAGGTAAGCAGATTAATGTAGATACAGTCTCTCAAATGCCAAAACAGTATAGGAAAAAAAATGTCTGCTGATTAAGAAACCCAACAGAGATAGCTACAATATAAGTAGTAGGCAAAGAAAAACAAGAAATAAAACAATACCTAGTCTATTTAATTCATAAAATCAACACATTAAAATTAAAAACAGAAACCAACAAACACCATTTATGCAACGTGTGACGACAAAATTCTACCATAACAATAATAACAATACTGCACTCACGAACGCCATCTGTTGGTAGTTCTGAGCAACTCCCGAGTTGCAGAGATCTGTGTTACAAGTGCAGTAGGTGACAAATAAGTCGCCGTTGCCGACCACACGACGACATGATTGCTCCTTCACTTCATCGTCGGCTAGGTACCCACATTGACGGACGACTCGTACTTTTCCATAGACTGTGGAAAAAAATAAAATCAGATAAACGATCTTACAGATATTTTTCATGGGTTTATTCTAATTGCTGTCTAATACTTTTTAAAACAAAAAGTGATCATACTTAAAGAGGTGATTATTGTTTCGATTTTAACTATTACTGACAATGTCTTATGGACTCATAAAGCATAAGGTTGCCTATTAGATTGTTGATAAAGTCTATCTTGAGTGTTGGAGAGCTACGATTCTGCACGAATGGGCTAGCTCGAGCTGAGTGATACAGTTATACCACTGCATGGGTTGTGACCCTTCAGGAAATCGGCGTAAAACCAACCTAAGTCAACGCTATCCACTATCTTTAAATCTTCCAAATCTTTAACTCCAAAAAGATAAGCAACGCACTTGTTACTCTTATAGCGATGTGATGTTAATGGGTCGGTCCAATCGCTTACCATTCGGTGATTCTTCAATAAGTTGTCATCCATAAAAATCTTATTTAAAGACATATCAAAAATATTTTTTGCTTCTACACTTTCTGCTTATTAAGATGCAAAATCAATGTACTCACTCTCCATTTTGATAGACCTACAGAAAGTGGGTTCTATAGGTTCTAAATGTTCCGGTGGGTCTCTCAAGGAACAGTTGACGATGCCCAGACTGAAGGAATCAAACTCCTCCCCACAACGAGGGTCAAAAGCGCTGTTGCAGTCATAGCATAGGATTGAAGATGCTGGAATCAGAAGGATAAGCAAATGTTATAATTTTATTGAAGCTGCACATGAAAGCAGGGCAATACAACTAAATGCCAAGTCACCTTAAGCTCTGCCGTTTGTTCACGAGCCAGCAGAAAATATTTAACACCCGATATCTCCCTGACTGATATCTTTCAAACTGTGATTTTGTTACCTCTTCTGTAAAGTAGGCTTATAGTACAGCATTGAACTTTCATGAGCTATTGATATTGAAATGAACACATAGATATTTGTTTCCGTCAGTTCGTACTTAAATTGTTTTTAGATTGCATTGTAAATGCAATAGATTGGACACAGCTGCCAAATAAACACGAAAGATAATATTGATTTCCTCTTATAGTATATTATTATATTTTAAGGGTTACGTTATCAAACTAACATAAATAAATAGTGTCAAAAATAAAAAGTAAAGAACAGAAATGTGTAATTTAAAATGTGCGTATAGAAAAGCATTAATTTTGTAATGGATATCAAACATGACAATCAATAAGAAAGTGAGGTTAATGACGATAAAGTTGATGATACAGAATAAAAAGAGATTTATATGAAATGTAACCTCTTCTATTACATTGAATAGGAAATTTGAGTCAAGTTCAACTACTAGCGGTTAGTAATCCAATTTCGTCGGACTTTTTATGGTTTCAGTGGCCGGTCTGACCTACATAGAAGTCAATGAATTTAGGACAGTATAGATCTAGGTTGTATTTTCAAATGACTTGAATTTGAAAGAAGGTAAAATTTTGATGATGATATATGTATTTGTTAAAGGTCTTAAAAAAAGATATAGATAGTATCTGTTTATGGGCTATTTGAAAAATATAAATTAGCTTTTAGACATAATACAAAGACAACCGCGAGTGTATTGGGTAAGCCATGCCTATTAATTGGCTTCAAATAATCATGCGGAATTTACACAGTTTTCTATCAAAATATATAAATAGTGGTGTTGTATCCAAATCATTTTGGCTACACAGATGAGAACTTCATGCTTGTTTAAAGTGCCACCCACCAGCAAAATGAAAAAAAAACCCTGAGATTTCGGAAGAGAAGTCAAATTAATTAATGAACTGATTGGTTAAGGACAAAGCATCAGTCAAAACTGAAGTTGGACTTGACTAATGGCAAACAAGTCCATTAAGAAAAAATTACATTGGACACAAAAAGACACAGAATGGAAAACCCTAATTACCAAGAACCACTAACGTGAAAACACAAAAAAATTAACAATAACAAAAAACTTACCATATCGGACACAACATATACTAAGAATCAATGACACTACAACAGTTTTAGAAGACGTCATCACTACACCTTATTGACTGCGACCACTTGGCGTGGAAGAGGGGAACTGAATTACATAGCGATGACGACACAGTAATTAGATTAGTGAATACTGGTGTACAAGTTGAAGCTACATTAGTCGGGCAACCAAAAGAAGGAATGGAGGATAAGGATCGGTTACTGACAAACCCGGAAATGGTGTGGTAGCTCAAATTCAAAAACTGATAATATGTGTACTTTCTAAGACTAATAAGAAACTACTGATAAATGGTGATGGATAACATCGTGATAAATCTGGACTTTTAATGTCTGATTGTGTGCTTGCCAATTTTCCGCGTGATAAAAGAGGTCTTTGCTTAGCAGTAAGCAAGTATTAGGCTAGTGATGATGATAAATTTGGTTAATCCTAAGTTCAATACACAGATTTTTTTAAACATATTGCCAGCCTAGAAATGATCATCAAACTGAAATTAAAAATTAAATTATCCTAATTTCTTCAATTTTCCCCCCTTTTGCCCTCTAACCCCAATCATTAAATCCCTATGCTTACCTTCAGGTGCTCTTTTAGCAACATATTAATAAGGAAATCTAGCCAGTTTTCCCACACGTATTCAAAAAAACATGAACAAATTCGTTCTCACTAACTGATAAGTCACTGTGCATAATGATAGTATTCAACATTCAACATTAGACCCGTACAGTTATTTAGATTCAGTGTTTATCTCACAAAAAGTTACAATGGTTAAATAAGAAACGCGACTGCGTTACATATTACATAATAATTAAATCTAAACTGCGGTTACATGTTACGAAATATGGCGCGGAGCGTGTTGGGAAATTATATGGATAGACGCAAAATTATTACGCGTACGACTGATTCGGATGAAGCTCGGTAAAATGCTATAGTATGTTTGTTTTTTGGTGTCTGCTATATATAAATGTATATACATGTATGTATATAACTTTTTCATAGAGAATTTGATTTATTATAAAGTGTATCGTTTTAATTAGAATTATTTATTTACTTATAAAGTATATACATATAGGTCATGTGTTGTCTACCTACTAAAGAAAATTTTGGCGTAAATGAAGATTTTTACTAGTTTTCTACGATCGAGAATGTTCTTTAAATTTGAAAGCTTTTTAAAATAAATATATCATTTCACGTAAATTTAATAAACAAAAAATCGCACTCCAAATAGTCGTACAACGTGTAGGAAATTTACGGAAATTAATAATAACGATTACGGAGCTCAGTTATGCAACTCACGCGCATCTTACCGCGTGCGTCCTCTGCTACAGATATAAAGAGAATGGAAGCGACATTCAACAGCGCATAGTTTATGAGGCATTTTAAAAGAATAAGCAAATACAATAAAAAATGTAAAATGTCAGTATTTAATGATAATATTGTTGTATTTATTTGTCTAAAATAATTTGCATAATAAGACTCCATTTTCGATATAAGATAAAAATACTTGTCTTACCTTTCCCTCACAATTGTTTTGTGTTTTATTTGTTAAGAATAAAATCAGTAATTCTCTGCCCGTACCTAACCTCAAAATGCAAAAATCTCAAACTCGATGTAATTTCACCACTGTCGTTTCCAGCTATCTTTTTCCATGTAACATCAAATACTTAATTTTTTTGTACGTCTGAAATGCGCGAGCGCACATCGGGGTCAAGTTCAGGCTGCGCCAGATACGTTTACTATGAAATGAAATGTCACGGTTCCGTATCTATTATGACTATGATTTTCTATAGATCAACACTCGTTTATATTCAAACAAAGGTGATTCGTCAATATTAGGTTTTAAAGATCGTTGCGTTGAGTGGTATTTCTAAATAATTTATTTTGTGCTTTGTCACTGACTTTCATGTTTACGTTTATTCTGTTAAAATATGATTTGGTTTATCATGTTTTTGTATTGATAGATATAGTGAAGTAGTATAAGGACCAGTAGGGATTTGTTGACGACAAAAATTACTTTATTTTCTTTATCATTAATTTATAATTTGGAATAACTTAAAATAATTTCATATTCAATTCCATATTAAAGGACTTTAACATAGAGAAGTCGGAGCTGAGTTAAGATTACAAAAAATAAGAATATCTTGAATTTGAACATTAACTAGGTGTTACCTAAGACAGCACGTGGTATAATAACCCGTGAATTATGCGTTAATTACAGTTAATCACTAACAAATTATGTAAATATTATATTCATTAGTGTTTATTTAAATAAACTTTTACGTAACGTAAACCGGAAAGGTAACGTTTTATGATAACCATGATTATGTAGATCCGTGTGATTAAAATTTTTGTTTTTGCTTCTTTTTCAAACTTTCTTATTTATTTTGTGAATCATAACGCATGCCACTTCTAGTGGTATTACATTTTTGTAATTTTAATAATTTAATGGTCGAGGTTTATTTAGAAAGATGCTGTTAATTATTTAATCTTAATATAATCATTATTTATGTTTTTTCTTGAAGATCTGTAAATTATTTATCTTTTTTCGCTTTGTGGTCGAACTTGTTATTTTCCCCCCTTACTAA